TGCTCATCTTCTGGAACTTGGCTGGTGTGCCCTTGAGTTACTGCCACTGCACGATCTACCTTGCCAGCCATGACCCCGCTACTTACCGTTGGAACCGTGTCTTCCTGGTGTTCCTGTATGCAGCATATCTGTTTGTTTACTGGGTCTGGGATACAACCAACAGCCAGAAGAACCGTTTCCGTCAGCAAGAGCGTGGTACTATGGTCTCTCGGAAAACTTTCCCTCAGCTCCCATGGCAGACTCTCAAGAACCCCAAGACAATCACTGCCGCCGATGGTTCCAAGATCCTCGTTGATGGATGGTGTAAGTGATTAGTCTTCTCAATGGAGCACTCACACAAGCATGCTGACTTTTGGCACAGACGGCAAAGCTCGTAAGATCCACTACACGTGCGATCTTTATTTTGCCTTGAACTGGGGATTGATTACCGGCTTCAGCAGCCCATTTCCCTGGTTCTACCCCATCTTCTTCGCGTGCATGATCACCCACCGTGCGTTGCGTGACATCCAGCGCTGCCGGAATAAGTACGGCGAAGCTTGGGTGGAGTACGAACGACAGGTTCCTTATCTTTTCATCCCCGTAAGCTATTTCTCATCTTGAAACGCGACGAACAGACTGACTGATCCGGGTGTCTAGTATGTGTTCTAAGGGAAGACCGAGCGATTCGACAGCTCTCACTCGCGCCTTATAGTGGGCACAACAATACTCGGAACCCTCTCATCACGTACAGGACTTGGTATTGCCATAATAATACGCATCGGCTTATCGGGTCCGGAGGTGCTATATTGCCGACTCACCTGCATCTGCTTCTTATTTCATAGCAGGAGTCTATATTCTTGATGTTCACCGGCAGTTCACTTCGATTCATGTACATCATTAGATTGGCTACTACCGGTCACTTGGTTTTCTTTTTGTTATTTTTCATCTCCTTCTGTTTCCATTACTGTTACCTCTGTCCCTTGATAAAGAGGTTTATGACCCTAGCGAGACTCTATCGCTTGAATGATAATGTATAAATTCCGACGAACCTAGAAGATAGCGAATACTTTGTATCTGAGGTGTATCATCAGTGAGCATTCGAATCCAGGCACTTGAAGCCAAAACTATATCTTATTAATCACATGACCTGCATTCATCCCTCCATCGCAGCTTATCGATAAAGGCGTTGAAACCCCCCACCAAATCGTGTCGCATGAAAGCAGTAATAACTGACTGACAGGTGCAATTGATTCAACTGGTTGTGCCACTGTACGATCGAGCTTATATTAAGTTCATACAGAGTCATATGAGAACATTACTTACCACTTAATCCACTGCCACCCGTCATGTTGATCCAGGAATCTTTCCACGATGTGCCCACCAAGGCGGATGGAAATGGTACTATGCGTATGTAACTAAATGACTCCAAGTCTCCAATCAAGACTTATCTGCTTATCTCAAATTAATAGGTATCTACGTTTTCCATCCCACTGTTCCTGGATACCCCAAGGCTCGATTCCCTGGTGTAGTAGTGTTCAGTGAGATCTACCAAGGTGCGTACACAGCTTCGTGGGACTGGCGACGCCGAAACTGACTGTGGCTAGTGACTGGACCTGTCTCGCGGTTTGCCAGACAGATTGCGGGCCAGGGGTACATCTGTGCTGCGCCGTCCAGCTACCACGAATTCACCGGTCCGGAGCCCCTGCAATACAACGCTGAAGATACCGACAAAGGAAACCAGTGGAAAGTCAGCAAGGTATGCGCCCACAAGCCGAGTCACTATCGCGGCCGATTATGTCTGAGTGCTGCTAACCGAGATGTAGAAAATAGCCGCTTATGACGAGGACGCCTCGTTGTGCGTTGACTACTTGCTCTCTCTGCCCACTTGCAATGGCCGGGTAGGCGCAACGGGTATGTGCCTGGGCGGTCATCTTGCGTACCGCTGTGCGTTGGACAGCCGCGTCAAGGCGGCTGTGTGCTACTTTGCGACGGACATCCACAGCAAGACCCTCGGCGAGGGCAAGAATGATGACAGTTTGGCTAGAGCGGGCGATATCAAGGGCGAGCTTCTGATGGTGAGTTGATTCTGTCAAGTTGGACGCTCTGGCATCTGGATGATAGTCGACAGCTGAGTGACAATGCTTTAGATTTTTGGGAAGAGCGACAACCATGTTCCGCCGGAGGGTAGAGACCTGATCCGCAAGACCCTGCATGAGAAGGGCGTCCTGTTCAGCTTCTACGAGGTTGCATCGGCTCAACGTACGTTAGATTATGACGCCCTGCTGTTAATAATCATTTCCGAAGTAGTTAGTACTAACGGAGAACCGCGACAGATGCGTTCATTCGAGACGAGCTCAGCAAGGGACGGTATGACCCCGCCATTACCAAGGTATGCTTTGAGATGCTGCTCGAGTTGTTCGGACGGACATTGAAACTGGACCTGGGCGAACACGATGGTAAGAAATTAGAGATCGAGGATGTATGCTAGATTTCTCTTAATGCGCCAATAGAAGTGCATCATCTTACATGAGGTTGGTCTAGGCCTGTCGCTGTCTACGGCTGTCAGCCACAATGACACCTCTATGGGCCGATGTCTTCGGCGTTCCGGCCTCCCCACAATCTGGGCCGAGTTGAAGACCAGATAGTTAGAAACAACGGCCCGCTTGCTATCATACCTGATAGAGGTGGACTTTCAGAGTAGCTGCATATATCGATGTTGATCAGGCAAGTGGGAAAACATTAACTAAGTCCAACACAGCATAACACTGGCAGACCTTCCGCTCATCCATAAGAATTGATGACTAGTGAATTCAGCCACAACCTGGTGTGAGTGCATACCTGGAACCTAGTCTACTGAGAAGCGCAGCTTGAACCATCCAAAGTTCATCGAGTTGGAATATATGATAGATAGATAGCAATACCCCAGGCAAGCTATGAGATGTTGACCGGTGCACTAGGCATTGGAATTGAATAGAATGATGATCATCCGTAATGTATGTCATCAAAAAGCAAGGAGCAGCTCGCTATCTTCGTAGATACTCCGTATTCCATACCCCATGGAAAGAGGGAGGAGGCGGGAAATTGGGTGGCTGATGAGTTGTAACTTACCTGAGGTTGTAAGACAGTCGGTGTGGTCAGTGAGTTACAATACCGTATTTGGGCAGACCTCCATCTTATTTTGGGGGAGTTCTGGTGCTTTTTTGTCTTGTATGGGTAAGGTAGTTTATGCGTATTGAAATTACGCCGTAGACAAAGGTTCCACAAGGGGGTTGGGAAGAACATGTTGATTGAGAGACAACCACAGACGCATCACGCAACTAGATCCATGGACATATCGAGCCGGTAGACCTAGCTTTGACTGTACTTTTATCCCTAGCTTGAACTCTTGTGTAATTCAATTGAATTGTCTGCCAATTGTGCATGACAAGTAAAATTACCTTACGTGTTGATGGATCAAATCAGGGACGAGCAGTTGCAGGCACCAAGAATAGAAAACCGGGGGAAAACAACAACAATCCATGGACAGAGATGGAATACTTCCTTGGTACAATCCAAGCACGGCTCAACCAACCATGGTCGAAGGACAATATCTGTCTAGTGGTCTATTACTATTATTATTATCAAGGTGCCTTGATCATCAGGTTCTGGCAGGAGAAACATCTCCAACCTAGAAGAATCAGACCAAGGTCCAGGATGATGGAAGGAATCAAGATATGGACTATCAAAGTTCTCGCCAAACGTAACTGGCGCTCAATTAGCCCAAGACCCCCCAGCCTGCTCAATTATTGCTTGAGGGTTTGGTCCCTGAGTCAAATCTTCAGAGAGAAAATCAAATCAATTATGGCCCCTTTCAGCTTCCACTAGTATTGATTCCACCAAAGACTGTTTCATTTTTTGCGCACTGGACAGTCTATCTATATTGTCCGATTTATCTCCTCGACTTTGCGCTCTGTAGGCTACCGTTCCCGCTCATCCACATTAATTGTCCTGATGGTGTTTTCGCTCTAAGCCCCCTCGTGTCAAGTCAACCTGTACAGCCATTCTCCATCTTCAGTTCCACTTCCTTTCTTCGATATATCGTCTACTCGCATACGGAGTATAATCTTGCATAATCTGCCATCGTTCACGTCCATTGCCCTCGTGGATGACAACAATCTTGCAGCCTCACTTACCGACGCTTTTGAGCTGCAATTGACTCACGATCTGCCCACCACTATTTTCATCCATTAAATCTCCTCACTTTTGGCTGCGAAAAATAGGAAAATTTGAGCTTTCGTCTTGCACTTGCAGAGACTTCATTGACACAGCGATCAGCATCATCGTCCCACGTTTACTGCCTTGTTTCAGCTTTGCGACGGGAGCCATTATTGTCAACGGCCTGGTCTGGTCCATTAGCGTGGGTCGCAGGAAAAGGGAAAGCCAATTTAACCATCAGCAAGACCACCACCGAGCCGCGCAAATCTTGTCCACGGTCATCCAAGTCTTTTTGCACGGTCAATCGCTTCAACGATCGGTGAATCATGGGTCCTACGCAATTTGGGAATTTCAACGTGAGTCTGCCGACGAAATTCGATACGTCTACTGGTGCGCGAAAGGGGAGTTAACCAATGGGGATCTTCGCGAACAGGACTTCTGCAGAGATTCGACCTTGCCAGTTTGCAATGTGAGTTGGTCAATTCCATTCTCAGGCGATTTCCCATGTAGGAATCTTGTCACCATAGGACTGCACCTTGCTGACTGCGATTGTTCATCGATAGCTCTTTGTCGCCCACAATCAACCCCCTAATGAAGCCTACGGCGGCTGTGCCCTCACCGGTATTGACCTGGGCAATCATAAATATCTCAGCAACTTAGGTATGGAACGACGGATAGAACGCCACGGAGACAAGTCGCGAATTGCGAGACTGATACCGATGCAGGATCGATACTGCTGGCATTCATATCTATCTTAGTATCGCTCTTCCTATTATGGCGATCGGAACGGAAACAGGCCGCGGTTGGGCGAAGGTACGCGGCTAAACATGGGACCGTGAAAGGCATGGACACGACTGACGAAGAAATAATGTACAGGGAAATGCAATTGTTCCTTCTTGCCTTCATTATCGTCGAGATCTGCGAGATCTTCACCGTGGGCGGCTTCCCTCTTGACAGCGCGGTGCTGAAGGTATGTTTTGTCTGTGCTAATTGACGCCTTGCTTCTATTGGACACAACTGAGGGACTCGCATAGGGGTTCTCGGCAGTTCATGTCGCTGCGATCACCGCGACTTGCTGGATCCTATTCTTGAACGCTCTTGTCGGGTTTCAGTTCCTTGACGACGGTACACCTGTTTCGCTCGGTCTCTGTCTTGCTTCTGCCCTGTTGTTCTTCGTCGGTACCGGTTATATCGCCCTAGATACTGCTTTCGACTGGACCGGAGAGTTCGCGACGGACGCGTCTAATCACTATCGAAATATCGCCCTCTACGTACTGTACCAGCTCTTCCCCCTCGTCCTCCTCGTGGCGTTCTTCGTTCTGGAAGCTGTTTTGGTGATCCGGGTCCTGGGCGAGTTCCAGCCAATGTGTATGTTCAGCCTCGTCTCTACCAGAACCGTGGAGACTCCAACCTCATATGAGCTAAGCAAACTGACGTGATATCCAGTGTATCTGTCCGCCGCTGGTTTATTGTTCGCCATTGGCCAAATCTTCAACTACGTGATCAGCACCCATCTCTGCCAGGCGTCGCACGGGAAAGTCAACGGCGCCTTTTTCGAAACGTTGTTCACACTCTTGTCGGTCGTTACGGTCTGGTTCTTCTGGAGCAGTATAACGGAAGACGACTGGCCTATGCCGATGGCTGTAGGCAGTGGCTACAACTAACCTGCAACTGTCATTGTAACACCCGCTTAATCGACCCTGTTCAGCGTTAACAATGCTCTTACCGTTGCAGACGAGGAAGGATCCTTATCTTCGCACACGTTTTCCTGTCCTCGTCTGACTTTTCCTCTTTTTTACGCCTGGACTGCCATTTTGATACCACTTCTGTTCTCAACTTTCATGTTTCACGATTTCCCTGATACTACCAGTGACTACGATTTGTATTACCCCTTTAATGATGTGGTCAGCTTGATGTGAAACGGGCATGTGATCATGTTTACATATTCATCCTCTCCTTTACTGTCAGATACCTATTTGTCATGTACCTAACTAGCCACTAGCATATGTCTATAACCAATCTCTGCACATTGAAATATAATCTCTGCCTTCTTGTCGCGGATAGGCGAATCTGCCATCCAAGGTATTATTGCTTCTCCGCAAGTACCTGTAGTTGTCGGATCGAAGCATGAGCTCTAATATTATCGGTATGTACGGTAGATTCTGTACACGATCATAAGAACGAAATCAAACCAAGAAGCGACGACAACCTGCATCCGGATGGCAGTCGACAATTTGGGTCAGGTCAAATAATGCAAGTCCAACCCATGCTCTATGAACCTTCCCGTGCATGCAAAACGATATTCGCCATTTCAGCCTCTTATGGTTATACTCGAACTTTTGGATCTGGTGGGGAAAGAACGAAAGAAAGAAAAACCCTCAAAGCCGAACCTTGACATCTACACAGGGAAGAGTCCACTCCCGTCGTCCCAGCAAACTCCGCAACCATTCGAGTCCAACACCGGTCCACTCCTGCTGTCCCAGTTCACTTGGTCCGTTGAGCGCGAGTCGCCGCTGCGCCTCCTCAACCGCTGCGCCCGCCAGCGCCTTGGTAGTCGTATTGACGGTCTCTACGACATAGCTGGCCAGAGACCCGTTCTGTGCGGCCAGGGAGGTATTGGCCGAGACGGTATCGTAGGGGTCTGAAGTTGCGTAGCGCGGCGAGAACCAGTCCCCGCGGAAGTCGAAGAAGCAGTGGTCAGCCCAGTGGCAGGAGGAGATGAAGAGGATGAGGAGCAGCGCGGAGCAGTAGATGCATGGTCGGTGGAGGATGTATGTGAGGGTGATGAAGGAGATGATGAAGAGCGGGGAGGCGTTGGTTGGGATGAAGAGGAGCGGTAACCAGCTATAAGTGATCGCGTGAGTGGGCTTGAAGTTTGGCATGATATTCAGATGTTGGGGCGACTTACCTCCTGAGACAGAACATGGTGGGAGTCTATAGGCTGAGAGGATTGTAGCACACTTCTTGTGACGGTGACACAAGTATAGTGTTATAGAGTTGAAGAGTGTGTTCAACTTGAGAGAAAGACTGACGTAGAGGAAGACAAATCCCTCTGACAGTCAAGAAAAGAAGATATGAGGGCACGAGAAGGTGGAGAGATAGAGATTAGATGCAGATAGTGGAAAAGAATCGCCCATCAGACAGCTGGGATACGAGCAAATCTCCCGTTCATCTGGCTAAATCTACCTCTAAGTATTCTTTCACTGACTGAGGATTTTCAGCGTCATTGCTGATTCCCTCCAATAAGAGATATTACCGTACCGTACTGAAATCCCCGCCATTATTATTCATACCTAGGTAGCCACCTACAGAGTACCCTCAGTACCTTACCTTTACCTAGGTATTCAAATGTACGCATCAGCCTCAACTGCATCAGCCACATATCATAGCCACTTACCTAACCCGACTTAGTGCCACTTCGGCCTCCATCTTGTTCTTTTTGCTCTTCTGGATTATCATCATTTCTCGTTCTTCTCCCCCTTCCTTACCCGTCTTCTTCTCTGTACCATAGTCCGTTCATTTAGCCCCTTTCTTTCTCTTCTTTCTTTCAATTACCAGAGCTATCTGACCTTGCTACTTCCTCACTTCTCCCTTTCTGCTCTCGAAAGAGAGCTCTCGAGAGAAGCTCAGAGCTTGGATATCACTTGGGAGGTCACCTCTAATTGCGGTGAGCTGACAGAAATGTCCACCCCCAACGATCTCCAGACTCTCCTGGCGAGCATCAGACCACGTCCATCTCCTTCGGGAACGCCTGCTCAGGACGCTCCCATGTCGCAGTACCCTATGCAGTACCAGCAGGGCTACCGTCCCCAGCAACAGCAGACGCAGCCGCAACCCTACGATGGGCAGAGCTTGTCTCACCCTCAGTTTTTGCAGCATGGCTACCGTCACCCCTCGGTCTCATCTGCCATTCCTAGCCCATCCCCGGTCAATACACCGCCTCATCATGGCTCGGATATCCTCAGTCCTAATACCACCACTCCTCGCGGCGAAATGTACCCGCAGCAGCAGTCTCAATCTCAGAACCCCGACCGTGCTGTCAACCTGCTGAACTTGCTCAAGTTTAATCAGGGCACTGCAGCTGCTCCGTCTCAACAACAGCCTATTGCTGCTGGAATGGAGCAGCCAAGGTCCCCTCTGGCACAGGAAACTGGCTTCGAGGGCGTGTCTAGGTCTCACACGAGGAACATCTCGGCCTCTGATCTGGTTGCTTCCCTGTTCGGTCGACAGGCTCAAGCCCCAACTTCGGCTGCATCCCCGCCCATAATGCCTGCGGCTTCGCAGTTCGCTCAACCTGGTCATTCCGGGATCGGCGAGAGCTCCTTGTCGGCGGCCCCCACGGCTGACAACACTCAGGAGATGCTGCTTCGTCTGCTCAACCGACCATCCCTGAGCCAGGATGTGTCCCACGGGCCCGGGAAGGCGGTATCCCAACCAGCAGCGTCTGTGTCTCCGGTCAAGTCCCCTGTCGCTGAGCCGATCGCACAGGCGTCAGTTGAAGTGCCCGGAGCGCGTCCCGAGGAAATTGTGTCTGGGAAGCCGGACATAATACCTTCTCAACAGCCCAAGTCAACACTGACGCCCAAGGAAGGCATCTTCACATACACTAACCCCTTTGAGCAACTGGCAGCTGCATCGCCACGCAAAGCCTCTCCTCAGATCAAGTCTCGGAGTGCTAGCCCCGCTGTCGAGCTCACCCAGCGCCAGAAGATCAACGTAACTGCAACTGCGGATGTTGCTCCGGTGTCTCAGCCAGCAGCATCGTCTGCTGCGGAACGCCCATCATCGCCAATTCTTGATCCAGAGCAGCGCGAGGCTGTTAACCAGGTAGTTGGCAAACTGGTGGATCAGATAGTTGGCCGCGACGTTGCTGAAGTACGTGACAAGACGACCAAGGAAGAGGAGTCGTTTCCTGTACGAACGGGCAAGGAAGAAAGCACTCAAGCGGTTATCTCCTCCATCGCTAGTCATCTTCGTGATACAGCTGCTGAGGCCAAGCAGGCTGCAGAGATTGAAGCAGCGGCCGCCCAAGACGCCGCCGCAGAGAGTACTGCAGCTATTAACGAAACCACTAATGGTGAAAGTGGCGATGCCCTTGCAGACAGTTGGGAGAGCGCCGAGGACAGTGCTGCGAAGGAAGAAGAGCGCGTTGTTCCCGTGTACAACTTTCCTCTGAAGCCGTTTATCTCCATCTCCATTAAGGGCAACACCCAGGAACTTCCCATCATTCGGGATGATGGAATCATGGACATCGCCCGGTTGAAGAAGGAATTTGATCAACTGGACCGCTCCTTGACTTCGGCTACATCGGAATACATCGTTTACGCTCTAGCGAAGAATGGAGGCATGAGGATCATTCGTCAGGAGGATGGAAGTGACAAGCAAGTCTTCCGTGCAACCCGAGATCGTGTGTTCAATGTCACCCTCTGCACCTCAGCCACAACGAGCGGCGTATCCGAGGAGCAAGCCATCTTGGGCATTGGTGTCAGTGGCACGGTGTACTGGGCGTTGATCTCGCGTGGAGAAAAGGATCTGTTCGAGCTGGATGCCTTAGAGAGCGAGAGCCTGATATTCCCGCCGTTTCCGGCTTCTGATGAGAACACTTCTGGTGGCCAGCTGAAAACGCGGGCCAAGAGAAGCTCTCGTCATCCCGGCTTCTTCGCCATCGGGCGTGGCAAGAATATCTACGTTGTCTGTCCTCAGGCGGCTGCCAATGCGAACTACGGTGTGTCGGGGTCTCAACGTACCGTCAACACGGAGAAGTTTTTCAAGGAACGGGCCCTCAAGATCTCGACTGGTAAGGCTGGCAAGGACTTTGTGTTCAGTGACGACGATACTGTCATTGCCTCCCTAGACAAGACCGGCAGGCTACGCTTCTGGGATATTCGCGAAGTCGTCAACAATCCCGACTTCTTCACCAACGTGCCTAGTCCAGCTGAGGTGCGCGTCCCGTTGAACACTTTTGTTACCGGATCTCCCACCGAGAAGTCTTGGCCCACCTCTGTTCTCTTCATCGATAAGCTGCGTCCTTATGTCAAATCGATGGCCCTTCGTTACGTTCTGGTCGGACTTAAGCAAAACCACACCTTGCAGCTCTGGGATATTGGGCTTGGCAAGGCCGTGCAGGAGCTCAAGTTCCCCCACGAGAACGAATCGGATGCCATCTGCAGTGTCGCCTACCACGCAGCCTCTGGCATCATTGTGGTCGGACATCCTACACGCAATTCCATTTACTTTGTTCACCTGTCTGCTCCTAGATATAATCTGCAGCCCATGTCGCAGGCATCTTTCATCAAGCGCTCGGGTGAGAAGGACTCGAGCTTGCCCAAGCCAGAATCTACAGCATGCATGAGTGGCATTCGGGAGATTTCGTTTGCCTCCAAGGGCCAGCTGCGCAGCTTGGATCTTCTCCCTACCACTAAAGCGCCTGGAGATAACAAAGAAGACAGTGCGCTCTTCGAGCTTTACGTGATGCACTCGCGTGGAGTGACTTGCTTGACCATCAAGAAAGAAGACCTGGGATGGGGCGTTGACAATAAGATTATCCGCCCTGTGAATGCACTGGAGGATGGCTTCATCGAAATTTCTGAGCTTCAGACCTTCCCCAGCTACGTCGCCGATGAACCTTCGATCAATGGTGATTCGGCTTCCGCTTCCACCAGAGCTACGCCGAGGGAAGTGGCCAAGAAGACCCCTGAGGCGACCACTGAATCTGCTGGTGCACCTGCTCCTTCAAGCACTGTGTCCCCTACCAAGCCGGTTCTGAAGAAGAAGTCTGCCGAGGAGCAGGCCGAGCCAACCGCCGCGGCCAATGGCGTCGAGAAGCCTGAGAAAAAGAAGAAAAAGAAGGCTGGTGCTGCTACCGCCGTTACCGGTGAGAGCCCAGCGAAAGCCAAGGAAGCAACATTCACTGCCCTTGAGGGGCTGTCTAGTGAGTCCGGCATTGTGCCTCAACCAATTGAACAGCCCACCCAACTGGCACCTTCCACAACACAGCCATCAACCATGGACGCCCCTCTCCCCGCCGTCACTGCTGCCGCGCCGCTCTCTGGAGCTGGTGCCAGTAAAGCTGGCGAGATCTGGGCCAAGCACTTGGAGGCACTTCAGACTGGTGTCACTACTGAATTTAATAAGAGTCTTGGTCGCGAGCTTGAAGGCCTGTACTCCCGCTTCGACGAAGAGCGACGCAACTGGGACGCTGCATCTGCAGCCAAACAGGATCAAGTTTTGCGGTTGGTCTCCAGCACCCTGTCTGACAATGTGGAGAAGAATCTGGCTCGTATCGTGTCTAGCAACATTCAGTCTGAGGTTGTACCTGCCCTGACTGAGCTTACCTCGGCCGCTGTTGGAAAACAGCTAGATCAGGTCATTTCTCAGCACCTGGGTAGTGTTGTGCCTCGTGAGGTGCGTCAGGCTCTGCCTGATGCAGTTGCTCGTTCAGTCAAGCAACCTGAAGTGATGAAAGTCATTTCGGATACCGTTGGTCAGAAAATCGCTTCCCACCTTGAGAGTGAGATGTCGAGGGCTTTGCACAACTCCATCACCCCCGCCTTCAAGTCCCTTGCTCTGCAGGCTGCAGAACAGATCGGATCGGACATGCAGAAGCAGTTGCAGGTTCAGATGAAGCAGTACGAAATTCAGCGCCACAACGACGCCGCGAAGATCGATCAGCTCACAACTCTTGTTCGTGGTCTGTCTGACACGGTCGCATCGATGGCTGCCGCCCAGACTAACTTCCAAAACGAAATCCTGAGACTCAACCGCGTGTTGAGTGCTAAACAGCAGGATGAGGAAAGCCGCAGCTCGCAGCAGGCATCATCTACCGGTCGGGCTGCTGCTCCCAGCGAGGCCAGAACCGCCGAGGATCTTGAACTGGCGGAGATTGCCCAGCTGATGAGTGAGGGTCGGTACGAAGAGGGTTCAGTTAAGGTATGAACTCTTAAAATTAAATCAAAAGCGGCTACTGACTCTAATGGTGCTGTAGTGGCTTCAATCTAGTCAGCAGGCCGATCTGTTCGACAACCTCTTTGTCCGCCTCAACCCATCGTACCTCACTAGGCTTTCCCCCATCGTGGCGCTTTCGGTCGGTGTTGCAGTCACGTCTTCTCTCCACACAAACGTTGACGACCGTCTCACGTGGTTGGATGTTGTCCTCCAATCTGTTGACCTGAGGGTACGTTCTGGTGGAATTCCTCCGCTTTGATAGCCATGACTGACTGGATGTTACAATTAGGACCCCGACATTCACGAAGTTGCACCCAGGATCATCGAAATTCTCACACAGCGGCTGAATACCTTGTACATGGAAGTCGCTTCGAACAACCCTCATTCTCCCGTCATTCGCAAACTCGGTCCCATCAATCGGCGCTTGCAGGAGCTTTGTAGATAATCTATCTACTTGTTACGACGGAGACAACATTTGACAATGAATAGAGAGAGGAATATGTAACTGTTCTGCTGAGTGATGTCGTTCGCGTCTACGCTCTGGAAACATGGTTCATGACGAGTGAAGACATCTGCAGATGAGGGTAATGCCCAAACGAGAAGGATTGCGTGGACATTTGGGCGTGGCTTGGATGTGGTGGACGAGGCTCTTTGGGCATTTCTTTTGTTTATTAATGATTCAAGGGAGTGATGATACGTGCTAGCACGAAGCGACGGCTTCTTTAGTCTAATGACTGATGCATAATATCATGACCATATGGAGAAGTGATACTGGACCTTACACCTGTTATTCTGGATTTTCCAGCTAGCCTTACCAATCATAGCGGCAGGAGCCACTTGGATGTATCAGAATCTAAGATCTTGCATTAGAACTGAAGACATGGTGGAGCCAAATTCTAGGAGTGATTCTATTGGGACTCTAATCATCTTGACTCCTGCATCGGTGGTAGGAAGAGCTATGTACATACAAAGGTAAGGTGTTCCTGCTGTTTGGTACCTAGAGAAGACATATGGAAGGGGGGGAGTAGTCGGGATGATGCATTCCTTTTATTTATCACTCTTCAAGCGTCAAGGAAGACATACTGTCATAAAGGACCACGCTTGTACACATTCATACTCCATTGTACATCTAGCATCACAGTTGGTATCATGCATGAAAAGGAACATTAGTCTGACTCTCTGTACATTGAGCAAGATCATCATGCTCGACAAACTCGAAGCCCAACGCCCGCCAATTCAGCTCCTTGCGCCAGTGCAGACCGTAGTATTTTCTTTTTGTTGCCGGATCAGATGACTCTCCAATTGACGCCTTCGATTCAGACTCTTCAGGCTCGGCTTCAGGGCCAGGGATAGGGCTAGGGCCACGCGCTGGCGAGACAACGGGCTCCGAGGCGAGTCCTCCCGTAACCATCCGTCCCTTTCGAGGGAAGATCACCGCTCGGAAGCGCGAGAGAAGCATGCCCATGGAGCAACATAAGCACGGTTCGTGAGTGAGGTATACATCAAGGTCTGTGCAGAGGTAGCCGCCCTGCGCACGCGAGCGGATACGCGGAGCAGCAACCGGAGGAGGGTTCGCTGTCGTGGGAACAACAGGCGCGGCGGAGTTTGTCTTTAGAAGCTTCTCCGGCACGGGTGACGGTTCCTGCGAATCTAACCGGGACGCGGAGGTCGATATATCAGACTGGGAGAGAAAGTACGACTCCAGGGGGCTAAGGTACGGTTTCGTATCCGAAGCCGCGCGGTCTTCTCCACGGCGTTTCTGAGCAATCATTTCCACGGCGCGCATCAGCGCGTGCAGTTCAGGCCCACCTTCCAGATCAGAGTCGTATGTCTGCGCTGCTGCAGGTGGACCCGGTCCGATATTAAGCTCTGACGCCGAGAGCGCACCGGCTTCCCGACGGGAATATCGCGCGTCTCCTGCGACAGCAACGACGGCCTCTGTCCATCTTGTGCCATCCTCGTCGGCAGTAGCGTCGATGGAGGCGAGAATTTCGGGATCGACGACTACTGCTCCGATTCTGCGGCCGCGGCCGGATTTCTCTGCTTCCTCTGCGACTTTCTCGGCCAGCGCCAAATAACATCCGGCGTCGGGTTGGATGGACTCGAGTGCACGGTTCAGAATTTGCGGCGGCGGCGCTATCGTGGCTCGCGGGGCGGCGGGGTTGTAGACAACTGGCCAGTATGTCGATGTCCAATTCTCGGCTTGTTTAGCATTCAAGGGCGGTTGAGTAGGGATTCTGATTGTATGCAGGGAAACCACAGGCGCAGATTCAGGCTGATTTTCGGAAGAGATCGAGGACGCGGGGGCAAATGGAGCAAGCACTTTTTGGAGAGCATCAACTTCCGGGAGAGGAGGCGAGACTAGGACAAAGATTGTCTGCGGTGAGGATTCATTGTGCTGTATGGCTGAGCGCAGGGATTCTGGCAATTGGGAATGTTTGGCGAATCGTCGGAGATGGTTCACAGGGACAGCAGGGTCGCGAGGGAAAGCAGCATCAAGTGCTCTTCACAAAGATCGTCAGCCACGATCTGTCTGCATCATTCGAAGTAGAATGTCTTACTTGACCACTTTCGAGGCCAACTTCACGTTGACTTCAGCTACATATGCATCCTCTAAAGCCCGTCAGACATTGATTATTCTTATGAAAGTCCATAGCCTCGTGGCTGTTCGGAGGTACATACCAAACTCTTCAGTCGTCTGTGTTTCCTGGACGGTCTTGATCGGCAATACATGTCCCTGAAGAGGCTCGATACTCCTCAGGATGTCTCGTACCTCCATTGACGTCCGTCTCCGCTGCGGGGATGAACACAGCAAGACGAGCGCTCCTATCTCGTAATATGACGCTCTCGATCGCCGCGGCTCACGCGCAATTGATAGAACAATCCCAGTGCGATGTTGAAGTATCTACCTCTCGTATAGCAACCGCCGATCCATTATGGCTTCATGGGTTGGATTATCGTCGGTTGAGTTGCGGCTTTCCATGGGTACGCATTTGTCCAGACCGTAACCCTAACCCCTAAGCCCTACGCCCTAAGCCCTGCTGTAACCTAACTGGAGTGGATGCCTCAGGCAATACACTGAATCTGTTACCTAAAAGCTTTTTTTGCAACTAACGCATAGGACGAATCTATGACATAATGCTGCCAAACTAGAAGAATGAATGTAAGACAATATACGTAGGAGGCTTAAATCAGATCGAAATGATAAGGGAGTATGATATTCCACACGCTAGTAACAATCGAACGCCCGAAAAATAGCATGAAGCTGTACAGAGATCATGACCAGGTAGTCCGCAAGGTCGTAGAAGCATGAGAAGAAGGAAGTGATAACAAGGCCAAAGAAGAGTCCTAAGGCATTAGACAGCACCAGAATGAGAAAAATGTCCCATATCGCCCGTTAATGCATAAGAAGATCAACTCCGTTCCCGCTTTAGATGTATGGTATGTAGAAATACAATACAATGGAGATATGACGGTCCCCCTATGGAAAGGAGGATAACAGCGCTGGAATCCAGCTGACTGCTGCATCGATGCAGTGAAAGTACTCAGCTTTCACGCTTGATCTCGTACCCGTCGCACCTCTCGACGAGACTTTGATAGTAATCAACCAGCACTTCTGGCTGGGGTACAATCCGCCACTCTACGCGGAATAGAAACTCCAACTCCAGAAGAGCCAACTCCGCCATGCTGATACCTCCCACACGAGCATATGTCTTGTTAGTCCAGAAACTGTCACTGAGACCTTTACTGGCGACGGTGGCACTAGTAATAAGGAATCGGTGAATAGTCAGACTGGAGACGCTGAAGGCCGGATAGAGAGCGCAGAGCCGATCAATGTAGTATACCATGCTGAGCAAGATCGGAGGCGACAAGGTGGCGTGGGTTGTAAGCCGCTGAAGATAGTCTTGGACCGAAATCCGAGGTGGTGATCGAGAATGGAAACGCGTCAGGCGTCCGTTATTCAGCGGTATCTTGTCGTTGAAGCGAATCAGCTCCATCAGCATGCTAGAGATTAAAATGACAAGGTCCCGCGGATCAGCCTGATCATAATTCTCCGGCAGATATTTCACGTCGGGCTCGGCTGGCCGCAGTCGTTTGGACTGACTGCGTTCGAGGTCCAAGTCCCCGGAGCGTCCCGCAAGCGAGGCGTCCACGCCATGATCATTCGGGCTGTTACGCTTGTTGGACCCTGTACTGATGGGGGCGGGCATTGGAGGAGCCGAGCAAGGCGCAGTAGCGGGGGCAGGGGCAGGGGCCGGGGCCGACGCTGCGACTGGAGGGGGAGCACCGACAGGCTCAGTGTCCGTCGGACGATCGGAGGAATGCGGATTAACAAGCGTAGCGACCGCAGGAGTAGGAGCGGCGGACGAATACGTGCTGTTTCCGCCCCCAAGGGTGGTCAGCCCGGCGGACATGCGGCCGCGAGGGAGATCCCCTGAGGGCCCCGGAGGCGAAGCTTCAACCGTATGTCGCGTCAAGGCCGATCGAAGCTCCTCGATGGCCAGGCGGGAAGAACGCGGACTGAAGTGACTACTGGACGCAGGAGGCTGACGAGCAGGCTCATAATGATGATGCCGAAAATTATGAGCTGCTGTTACGGCGGCAGTCGTGGATCGATGAGAAAGGGAGGGAGAGGAGTGCGAGGGATGAGGGAGCGTCGGAGGAGAAGAGGATGAAGGATGGAGGGCGGCGGACGGAGACGGTGATGAGACTAGCATGATGATTTCCGCCCAACGAGACCACCACGTGGGCGGACGATTGCACGACGTGCAACGGAGGTGGCAGATGCTGCGAAACCTTGTGCTGCTGCTGCTAGGGATGACAGCGTGCACAGACGCATCGTGATTTGCAGGGTCAGACTCTTTTCAACAAAGAGACTGAAGTCCGAGGGAAGGGCTTTTAAAGGGCGGAGTATACGTCCTTGAAAACCCAGAGGATGATGATGATGATGATGATGGGTTAGAGTTAAAGGAGTCGTAGAAGTTTTATAGAAGAAAGGAAAAGGAGGGGAAACACGGGTTCCAAGGAAAAAAAACAAAAATGTCAAAGAAAAGAGTTAAAAATAATTTAGAAATAAAAAAAAAATTTGAAGTCAGTTACAAGATTACGAAGACTATGGACATCTCTTAGGTAGGTAGGCAAACCCGTTCACCCCCGATCTCTCAAAAACAACCTAAGGAACAAAATGGTAGCCAAGGGACGTTGAAAATTGAGCCAAATTCCACCCAATTGAAAAGCAGCCTTGGAGCGCCTGAGCGGAGAGATTGGAGGCAATCTTACAGTTACCGCTTGTTACAAATATCGGCACCGTGAGCCGATCGAATACTTATTACCAGGGGTTTCCCATTTGGGGTAGGCACCTAGATCCTTCGTAGATAGTTACTATCATGGATTATTAAAGGTGTCGATGGCGCTGATTGCCGTCTTCTGACAGGTTCGACAAGTCTCCGGTCAGATTGCGAAGTCTTAACTGCCCTGGATCTAATATCTAGTGGTCAGGTTACTCAGGTACCCCTCTGGTGGGGGCTATCTGTGATCTAAGTAGTTTAAAAGTACTTAAAACAGGACGGACTCACGACAGAGTGCCTGAAGTCTCCCTTGGATACTACTCAGTCAGATAATGACAGGCCGTGGTAGCTATTTGGTAGCTATGGCCCCATTGTGCTTCACTTGGAAATAGGGGATAGCCTCCTAGGTCACATGGATGGCCGCAGATACTCTCGAGCCCCCAGACTACTCTCCACACTCGCTGGTTCAATACATGTAATGATCAATTATGATTTGAACATGGCTGAGGAATGCACTCCCTAGATAAAATCTTCTAAGCTAGTCCATATATACATATTGCAAGAGCAAGGGCAAAAAATCAAGGCAGCATTGAAAAACTACAATCTTCTCCTCTGTATCATGATCATTTGTGAGCGAGGTGGGGGGCGGATGCCTGGAGTAAGGTAGGCAGGCTACTTCGTACATAAATTACAATGAAACTCTGACCGGCACCTGACGCAATGTGTAATGCAATTTCAGTTTCAGTTAGGTTTGATCCACAAGGGCTGAATCAGTCCACAAGGGCTGAATCATGTGATGTATTATTGATTATCTAATACTTTGAAGGTGATTTGGAAGTCAGGTGATGTCACGTGTGGCCATATTCCGGAAGCAGATGGCAGTCTGGGTAGTGGGATCGTAAAGGCAGTACGTAGGTAAGTAACTACCTAGGTACGGTCTGGACGTATATAAGAAAGGTAAGGTAATAAGAGTGCTGTCAGGCTGCTGTAAGAGCTGTAAGAGTGCTCTAAGTGGTACTGGTACCCCATATTCCGAGCAGTTACTCCGTACCGCCAAGCTCTCCCCGACTTCAGCAACATCTGTCTGCGAATGGTCTAGAAAGATTGTCCGTTGCTGAGGGTTCACTTGTTATCGCAATTTGAGGCTCGTACATACATACATACTTATCTCTTTTTTCATCTGTTTCCTTTCTCTTCTCTTCTTCGAAGCGAATCCTATTTATTTCAATAGACTTCTTATTGACTCGGCTCATTTCATACTCATCTAGCTCTATCGTTATCAATTGCTAGCTCACTGCATCAGACCCCTCCTGAACCTCCGCTCCGGCTTCCGTCGCCTGTACTCCACATGAGCAAGATATCGATCAACCATTGATCTTCGGATAGCAGCGTTCTTCGGCTTGTTGCATCGAGTCGGCCCCGTCCCATTGTCGGTTGTCGCCAAAGAAGTCAAACGGATTCGTCTGGCGGCGGCGGCGGCGGCGGCAGTCTAACCACTATGACGCGCACTTCTACACCACCCACCCTACTCCAACTCCAAAGCGCAGAATCGATATCATCTCAAGCCGCACTACTTCGCAGCCTGAAGAACGAAACAATTGGCCATGATCAACGCAAAGAGATTTATATCAAGCGGGGAATCATTCCGGTGCTCACCAAGGTTCTCACGTCACGGAAGCTGAGCGGGAAGAGCGTTACGGCGACGGCTAAAGAATCGTCTGGCAGCAAGTCGGAGGAAGACGATGCGTGTCTACAGGCGATCATCATCGTTGGTAGCTTGGCTCAAGGTAAATGTCTAGTGATTCGTCCCAACAGCGCCAGTAGTGGTCACCATTACTGAGATCTCAATAAATCAGGCGGCCCAGCGTTCCTCGCGCCCATCCTCGCCAGCAATATACTTCCAACCCTCCTGTCGTTCCTGACGTCTCCCATCTGCCCTTCCTTCTTTCGCCTTCCCATTCTCCGAACACTCAACAGCATTGCAGATCGACTACCTTTGCAGAGTCAGCAGAAACTGAACAAGGATACTCGTTTGGCCGAACTGCTCTTTTCTAAGGAGCATGTTGGATGCTTGGCTCAGATCATCGGGCAAGACTATACATCTTCTCAGGCGCAGGCTTCCATTGAACTGGCTGCATCGTTGATTGGGAAGTTATGCACCGAGGAGGCTCACAAGACCGTCCTGGCTGACTCGGGGGTGTTGGATGCTCTTGCTGTCAAGGTCGCCTCGTTTGTAGTGGCCCAGGGATTCGTTCTGCCTGGGGCAGAGGAGCATGTCCAGGAGCCGGGCGCACTGGGATCCTTGCCCCCTCCAGCACCTTCGAGTGCCAAGCTCGCTCCAATCCTTCGTGCGGTCACAGTGATCATCGAGCACTCCAAGTGGCGAGCCGAACATTTCCTTTCATCGCCGGGCATTGTGACTGTTTTCCCTAAGCAGTTACCCGAATTCGCTCCCGCGGACATCAAAAAGGGTCCCTGGGGGTCAACATATTTCTCCGGTTCTGCCGTGCCACGACATGCCGGGATTAGCCCCCTTGAGAGTCTGCTGCCATCGGTTCCATTATCTCCCTCGACAACAACACCGGCAAATGCAGCCAATTTTCCACCTTTAGGTCAGCAAGGGGCGCGCCGTCGCCCCAGCCACTCGTTCCCCACGTCCTTCTCGCTTTTCGAGTCGACATCTTCCGACGACGATGAGAATTGCATTGTCCCCTGGCTCCTCTACATGGTTCGCGCGGAGAACGGCATGGTTCGGTTGATGGCAGCTCGCCTCGTCACCGTCCTTTTCCGTCTTGGTCTGGCGAAGAAACATCGCGTCTCCCTGCTTTCCTACCTGTTGATCCCGATCCTTATCCGAATGCTCGACAAAGACTATGAAATACCGGACGATGACAGTGTCGAGTACGGGGGCCTGATCCCCGCAACCGCGCGTCTTAAGGAGGAAGCCCCTGCAGTGCTCGCAGCTCTGGTGATTGACGACCAGGAATTGCAAAAACACGCCGTCGATGGTGGCGCGATTAAGCGATTATCGCAATTGCTAAAGGAGACCTACAACCCGATTCACGAGAATACCAAGCCAATGTGGCACCCGGACGTCGACGAGTCCGCTCCGATTTCCGATGCGCAGCCAGTGGAATGTAGACTCGGTCCACCCGGGTTCTCGCCAGCTCATTGTCATGTCATGCGATATCGGGAGAATATTTTGAAGGCACTTGCAGCTCTCGTTCCATTCAAGGATGAATATCGCAAGCTCGTGTGTGAGAATGGAGTGGTGCCATACATCATCGACTCGCTCAAGCCTTGCCCTAGCGAGCTGCCAGTGGACACATCGACTCCCAAGAACACTGCCACGGATGGCAATCCAACTCCGACTCTCTTGGCCGCTTGTGGTGCTGCGCGAATGCTCACTCGTTCCGTTAGCGTCTTGAGAACAAGTCTGATCGATGCTGGTGTTGCAGCTCCTCTCTTTGTGCTGATCCGTCATCCTGACATTGAAGTGCAAATTGCTGCGACGTCCGTAATCTGCAATCTGGCATTGGACTTTAGTCCAATGAAAGAGGTCAGTCCTTATCCCCTTAGGGCTGTCGCTAGATATCGACTTGCAACTGACCCAAGTAGGCAATTATCTCAGCCGATATCCTCCCGGTCCTATGCGAGCACGCGCACTCAGCGAACACAAAACTTCGTATCGAGTCATTGTGGGCACTGAAACATGTCGCCTACAATTCTGCCAACGATGTTAAGATCAAGATTATTGACGGCCTTGGGCCTGGGTGGATCAAGCAGATTATTACGCAGGACCCTACAAGTGCCCTTGCGAAACGGGGAATGGAAGGCGACGTGGACAGCAGTGCGGCGGCGGGTATGAGCCGAGCCAATTCGGCTGGGGAACAAGTCGACCTTTTGAATCCGGTTGAGGATCCCCGACGCCGGGGCGAAGATCTCAAAATGACCGACACTCTGCCTGCGTCCAAGATGAGCCTGGAGATGTTTCTGCCGGATGCGACCAGGCGGCGAAAGCTCGTGTTGAATGGAGATTTGGACCAGACCACACAGGCTCGACAGGATGATACTGCGGTGCAAGAGCAGACTTTCGACTTGCTACGTAACCTTGTATGTGGGTCAGGAGCATCGGAGATGATTGGCCACCTTTTCAAGGAGATTGGGCAGGACCTCATCCTCGACGCGCTGGCGGACAAGCTTCGACCTCGCACCATCAATCTTCCACACCGTCGGGATTCCTCAGCCAGCCGTGCACTCAACGTTCCCACCGAGATTCTGATCTCGGTCACGTTTGTCATCATCCATCTTGCCGCGAGCCTTCCATGGCATCGGCAAGTCCTGGTGTCGCACCCCACCCTTCTGCAACATCTCATGTGGTACTTTAACCATAGCCACCGAGACGTGCGTATCAACTGTGTCTGGGTGGC